TTATTAAAGAATTCTATGATATAGAAGATTTTTTTTTTCAAATGTTGAAGCCAATATCATGTAAGAAGTTGAACTATTCAAATATATAAGAACAAAATAGAGATATTGATTAATCAATTATTAATAGTATTAATAACAAATAAAAAATGAATTACTATTGTTGTTTATTCTTACCTTTTTATTTCACTGCAAAAAACAATTGTTAATTTTTCTTTCTTACGTGATGTATAATAATTTACTTTTGTTATAAATAATTGAGTAATTGTAAACTCTAATTGGTTTATAGGTATTTAAATTGTTGAATTACTGGATTAGTACACTTTTACAATATAAGCTACATATATTTTGTAATAACAAAGAGTTTATGATGAATTATTAAGAATGAATTTAACAAATAAACGAATTAAAAAAGTAGTTCAAAAAATATTAAAAATTTTGAGGTAAGTCTTTTAGCACTGAAGGGAAACATTGGCTAGTTCCATGAGAGAAGGGGAAAAAAGAAAATAAAAGGAAAAAGAAATGGGAGAAAAGGAAAAAAATGAAAAAAAAGAATAGAGAAAAAAGAAAAAAATTTAAGATTGTAAGGGTAGTGTTGTCCAAACATATAATTCAAGGGAGTAAAATGCCTATTATTATAGTTTGGGGGGTGAACTACGATTAGATATATAGTTCGTGGGGGGTTTTTTACATTTAACCCGTATTATTATTTTCGTGCATGTTTGACAAGCAAAAATTGTGAGGAACAAGTAGTTAATGGTAATTATTGAAATTATTTTGTACTTAAATAGTTCCCCCCATAAAAGTTTACAATTTTTGTGAGACAAAGAATGCAGAAAAATCATAGGAAAATGCATGAGCTGATTCCTTAAATTCGTCATTTTTTACGTTCTTATAAAACTTCCAACATACACTAAGCAGAAAGTTATGCTACACTGCTCATTTCCTAGCGGTGCCTTTGTTGGATTGCTTCCAGAGGATCTGACCTTATGTTACCCATGGTCCCAAAATAACCACATTCCTTTTACTAAATTTGTTTGTTTCAGAGTGAAAACTGGATTATATACGTCCAGCTTTTGTTCCTCTAATTTTGAAGTTTTATCAGTCCCAATGGCAGTAACTTGTCTGTTGACCAAACTCCTAGATATCTTGGCCTCTTATTGAACACAGCAGAGTGTCCCTTTTGCACCTAATTCCAGTTAGTCTATGCTTGATCATGACCCACTGCAGCAGGTTCTGCATTCCACTCTTGCTATCAAGTGTAGCATGAGGATCCAGAACCCAGTAATATCTGAGATTAATGGGCAATAGATTTGCGTCTGTACCTTTTTTTTTTTTTTTTTTTTTGGGTTTGCCAAGAGATAATATGAATGCTTGACTCCTGTTTTGAGAATTAGGCATTATTTCTACCCTTCTGAGAAGGACCCTACATTATTCCTTGGTTTCTAATGAGGTGCCTCGAGATAAAACTAGGACTTGTGAGTATTTGGAGACTAGGAGAATCTGACTAGGGATTTGACTGGGATTGTTTCATTCATAAAGATTTCAGTCAATATTACTTCGGGAATGCTGTCCTAGGTAGTTTCCAATTCCATTTTTCAGGTTTGAGAGATGGGGCAGCTGCTCAGAATTAGAAAGACCCCCAAGAAAGAGTGGAGCATTGGTAGAGTTTCTTGAAAAATTTAGTGACGGAAAAAGCTACATATGCCCCGGCTCAAAATCTCGCCCTTTATATAAATTTTCCCTGTAATTATTTGCTTTATGTTTTCACCTGGCAAAATAAATAGAAAGAAAAGGAATTCAATTGGAGAAAGATGGATAATAACAAAAGTTCTCTATTTGGAATGGCATGGTCTAGGGCTGGCAAGTCCGTAAGCTAAAAGTGAAGTTCCAGTCTGAACGGCAGGCACATAGTTCTTTAGAAAGCTATCTTGACATGGATCAAGAATAATTTGGTATCCCTCTGTTATTGAACCTCACACAACAACAAAAGAAGATGAAGATGACTAGCGGCCTTCATCATCGAATGGGCAGGTTGCACACAGCAAAAGATCATTTCAAAGGGTTAGAGCACTAGCAGCAACAAAACAACGAATCACCACCAAACAACAGAGAAGTAACACCAAGTTATAATTATAAATACAGCTTATAGCATTATGTTCGTTTTAAAATTAACAGGCTAGCGGAACATAAACGAGCGAGTCTATGATGAGAATCATGGTAATAGCATTCCATTTAAAGACTACCAAAGTTGGATAATAGAAACACAGCACCAACAAAAATTACAATAAAAACTCACTCCAAAACGGATATAATTTCATCAAATCTTCCTTGCCTGTTCAGTCATTTGCTCCACTTTTTCCACTACTATTGTTGTTTACAGCCACTCTTCATTTCACACACCTCTCTTTTCCTTGCAAGTAGAAGCATCAATCAGCAATTCACTTTATCCTTCAAGCAAGACTAGGCTCTCCACAAAATTTTCAACATAAATCGAACCAAGCTTCCCAAAAATTTCAAGATCCTTAATTTTTCTGCTCTCAAGGTCAAATGAAACCAGCACTCCACTTGCAGGATCACTAACAAACATCTCATCCACAAACATTGTCACGAAAAGATGACCGTTGTTACTAAATCCAATCACATTCTCCATCCCTTCCACTAATCCAATATTATACAGCCTCTTCCACGACTCCACATTCCTATATTCCTTCATCACCCAAAGGCTATAAATGTTCTCATATCCATTGTACTTCATCACAGCAAGACAACCACCATGTTTCATAAGAAACAAATTTGCAGCACGCTCATCCACCAAAGCTTCCGGTAAGAAGATCTCTATGAAAATTTCATCCTTCATATCAAACCCCATTATTGAATTCCCAAAACTTCCTTTCCTACGATGTGCAAGCCAATGCATAACCCCGTTGACAAATACCTGCGAGAGACAAAAACCGGTGATATAATACCTAGGACAAGTTTGAGGACCATGAGCCAAAACTTTCCAACTTTTTGTGCTAAGTGAATAAACCTCAACCCCAACAGACAAGCCATAAAGTCGATCATACACAATCCTCACAACTTTATAGTCAAATCCCTGAAAATCACAACCAAAACCAAGCAAAAATATTCTTGAACGATCCCAATAGGGCTGAATACTGGGTAAGGGCAGCTCAATCGACTTCTGTACTGAAGGGTTCCATAAAATTATGGGTTTCAGGCGAAACGTACCAAACATATCATCACACAGACAAACCAACCCATTGCAGCAGCCTACAATTCGATAACAACCCACCTTGGACTTGAGTGGAAATCTGATTTTGGAAGATTTATGGACAAAATCATCGTTATCAGGGTGCAAGGAGTAATGTTCTGTTTGGTCATTTCGACTATAGTGCCTGCAGAGCAGAAGAGAATGTTTTTTGTTGGGCTGATTCTGGATCTTTTTGAGGTGTGTGAAGATGAAATTGGGACTTGTGATGAGGCATTGCCAGGTTTTGGAGACTAAGATGAATCTGATTAGAGATTTGACTGGAAGCCTAATCAGGATCTCGATCAAGATTTCTTGAGGAATGTTTTCCATCTTGAGATATCCGCTGGCTAGCCTGGCTTCGGAGACTAGGGAACGATATTTACAGAGCTGTGGCTGGCATCCCTTTGACTTGGGATCCGTTGACCGTTGGCAGTTTGTACTTTTTAGCGTGCACTGTACTTGGAAGTCAATTATAGATTTATAGGATGAGAAGAAACGACGTTGTTTTGTGAAATGGATTTTCAGGAAAATCAACTTGTGGTTTCTGACTAAACAAAACCGCATCTTTGATCACCGTTTTACCTTTTTTTTTTTGGTTTACAAGGAGTTACCATTTCAAATTTAACACTTGCTTTTAATTTTATTATTTAAAAAAATAACTTTTTCAAATTATGATGCCAATTTAATGAAGGAATATTTTGAATTTAAATGATACTTGTATAAATTCATCATCTCAAGGAGACATAACAATTATATTTTCGTAAAAAAAAAAAGAGTTAAATTTCCAAAATAACGACTCTAATACCGGAGATAGAGAGAGGATCAATCTTATCTATACCCTTTAAAATTGGAAATCCAAATAGTCAACTTAATTGATCCCTTATAGTTGGACATTCCACGGTTCTTCAATCTAATCCTAAATTTATCTACCAAAACAATAGATGTCGTATATTATTGTGACACACAGGTCCTTCAAGTTCCAAGTCCCTTGACTTTTATCCTGCCCTTTTCTCATATGTTGAGCAAAGAGCCTTTGAGAAATCTTGGTCATAGATGCATTTTCCTATTTTAATAACCATCTAGAATCCCTCCTCCTCCCATTGACTTTCATCTTTCCTAGGATTCCATGGAAGTTTGTTGGTTTTTTGAGGCATAAATTAAGAAACAACACCTTAGTGTTGCAAAAATGATTTATAAAAGACTTGTATGAAACTGAAAAATGAGATTATGTTATTCATTCATCAACTCACAATTTATAATGATTACTAACAAAATATCTAACTAACAACTATCTTAAAAATCTCAACAAAATATAATCTTCTTCTACTAGCAAATCTTAGCTAAAATATTTGTTAACAAACTAATAAGATTTTTGGTTAATAAATATCCTAATTGTAAGACTTATTCTTTTACTAACTAAATTATTTTGGTATCAAACTCAATATGATAAAATCTATAGAAAAAGTTAGCATATCTCACATTTTTGCAAAGCGTTTTGTGTTTTGAAACTAAGTATTAAGGTCACAACAACTTAATTAGACCTTATAAAACACAACGCTTTGTAGTTCATTCCCATACCTCAAGTAGCTCATAAATTTGGGCATTGTGCACTGCAAAATTTATGATTATATGAAGTGGGAGAGGAGGCTGGTACCATTTTACTTTGCACTACTTTATAATGAGTCTAGTGGTTGAAGTGATGGAAGTTCAATAGTTTGTCATCAAAGAACACACAATTAAGCTCTCATTCTTCTCATTAACAATGCTGCGCGAGCAAGGTTAACTTAAAAAAGGAAAAATCATGATGATGTGCTACTTGATTATTATGTTTAAAAATACAGAAAGACTTGACTCACCAAACATAACCTTTTAGGTACCTATTTGACATTACATAAAATGAGAACATGCTCGATAGGAAAAGTGATAGCCCTTTTGAGAGGTGATAAAATCATCTTACACAAGGAGGGTCGTCCCACATGACATTTATTTAGCAGTAGTAACGAAAGAAGCTATGCCTTTTTTGAAATCCAGATCGATCACAACCAACTAGAAGTGAAAAATTACAAATCTTGCCTGCATCCTTGGACTGCACCATTCATCCTCAGCCCTGAGAAGATGCAATATTTGAAGTCGTGAAGGAGAATCCTCTTGTCAGAACTGCAACTATGGAAAAGAATCATGAGATGGAAAGTTGCGCACACAGCTTTAGATTGTCTTGATCCATCCCTGCCCATGAGAAACTCAGCAACTGATCATAATTAAACGAGTCTGTGGTACAACAACCTAATGAAGACATCGATTGACATTTAAAGAGAAGTGTTCGAAAAACTGGTTGAGGAAATTCATCCTAATACGGTTTGGGAACTTCGCGACCAATATAGAGAGAGCTCTATGGTACAATCTTTTTGCCTATTAAGTTTGATGTAATGCATACGGCAAAGTGTCTCCACAAACCCTTTCAGGATGCCACTTCAATCGGATGATATGAGTAAAACCCAAGCATTGACGTAATTCCAAAATGAAAACTTTGAACTTCATTGCAGCAGAAACATGCTTTGAAGAGAGCAGTCCTCGTGTTGAAGAAAAAAAGATCACGCCGAGGGATCTCCTGTACACAATTGTCTGTTCATGTGCAACATTACTTCATAGCACCTAGTCTCTGGTAACCCACCTCCTGCCTCGGATCTGATAATCACCAAAACTATGATCACTGCTACTCTCACCACCGCTTTCTGCACTGGTGTATCCAGATTTTCGACGGTGCTTCTTCTTCCGAACACTCCCAGTATCACTGATACTACCATTTAAGAGGGGATCATCTATTCCACGAATTACTCTACGAGATGGAGGATCAATACAGCTGTCGTCCTTAGTCCTCCTCTCTTTTTCATGCTTCTTCATGTTCTGAGAGATCTTATGCAGTTTCTTATTTATATGTGAAATTCCCTTCTCCATGGGCTCTACAGCTTGTGTCACAGTAAACTTCACATCATTCACAATCTAGATCACAGCTTAAAATCCCAGAATTAGAACTGATGAAAGATGTTTACATGAACAAAGAAAGATGCTAGTCCAAATGCATAAAGGGACAATAAGGTTAAAGGTGTCCAAACAAGTGATAAATAACTAAAAAAAAAAAACAAAATAAAAGGCAGAGATGCTGCAAGGAAACAATGACATACACCAAAAAAGAAAAGTTCAGGAAAAAAAATTAAACAAGCATCAATGAGAGAATAGCATGTAGCACAATCTTTTTGTAAAAGAGTCTTTCTTCGAAAGCTTAAATCCACATTTACAGATAAGAGTTTGCATGCTTGCCAATTACTAAAATTAACATAGATCATCCTATACCACCCGCACCACAGCACAATGACCAATACACATGTTCTCCCATCTGAGAAATGGGTTCAACGAGACCACAAAAAGTAATTCCTTAAGGTTCAAAGGGCTGGTGAGGCAACAACTAATTCAGGGTCCTACATACTAACACTAATGAAATTCTATGTTATCTGATATTCCATTCAATGCAGTAACGTTTTCAAGTACATTATGGTCCTCAAAATCTACAAAACTCCATGAGCGGAAAATCCTCCATTAACATGTGATCAAATCCCACAATCTTCCAGACAACCCGAAATCCAGAAAATGAAACACAACGAACGGATATCTTACCCTACCCCAACCTAAAAATATATAAAGAGTAGATGAAGCAAATTAATAAAAGCAAGAAAAGCCAGACACTGGCTGAGATGACTAAAGTAAATAAAGAGTTTTCAGGCTATTCTTCTGTTAAACCCAGCTTTACTGAAAGAGATTACTACCATGATGATGATTATCCTTAAACAGAGCTTATGAACATGACTTATCAGTGTCTTGGTAACACCAAGGTAGCCTTAACTACCCAAAATAGCTTATCTCTGTTCCATGGAGAAGAAAAACTTACAAATTCACCAGCACCAACAAAAACGTCCTTAACGCTTTCTTTGATGGTCATTCCACTCCTAACATTAACTTCAGGTTGGGGAAGGCGCAATTTTGTAGGACGCTCACTGTCTCTAACCTCTTCAGGATCAACTGGATATTCACCAATATAGTCTCCAAGAACTGAAACACTTCCAGGGAAATAGTCTTCCATCAGCTCATACGGCTTTGCAGGGAACACATACAGATGAACCACAGAAGCGATGCCCATCTGTGCTGGATAAATACAAAGGCCAGTTAAACTTTCATATTTACTTGAAAATTTCAGCATTGCGTAGTCATGCACAACACAGTCTAGGTAAGGGTGAACATGAAGCGAAAAATCACATTTTAAATCTGAATCCAAAAAAATCATCAGATCAGAATTATAGTTCCAGACATTTCAAGAAACTGAAACCAAGTGACCCAAAAAGTAAAGTGGAACTTCTAAACATGTGTTTGTCATAGCTGCTATTATGCTAACAAAACACCCAATGGACAGCAATTCTATGATCGAGGACTTGACAAAGGAAAAGGCTAATGTTCCTATGAATTCAAGAGCTTGTCTGACATGAATTTAGGAGGCCATTTGTCTTTGACACATATGTCAATTATTTAGCTCCAAAGATTTTCTATCATTCATTTTAAAGGAAGAAAGAGAGAATGAAAGGAAAAAAATCTCCTTGATCACAGCCTATTTCCATCAGCTGACCACACTGAACTGCAAACTCTTATTCCCATAGCCAAGAGGTACAAGTCAGTTTGCAATTCTATAAAGTACATTTCTATCAACAATCACATGGATAAAACACAAAAATGATTAGCTTGGAAATGCTAAATTGCAACAGTATCTATCTGGTAGACCCCATGACTTAAAGGAGGAATTCATGCAACTGGCATCATCTCCATGAGTGACACATGACATGCTCCACCAATGAAGAAGCCACCAGGGGCCAAAAGAAAAAAAAGTCCCAAGCCCAGAAATAATCTTCTCTTCTTCCCTCAGAGACATAAAAACAAGAAATGAACAAGCCATCCATTATGATTTCGAGTGTTATTTCGAAGTTATGCTACATTAGGAGTTGACTTCATCCCCTCTTTCCCAGTTTTACAATGCACAATACTTACGCCTGCTAAAAATTTTTAGACCATGGAAAAAGTGAGCAATGACAAAATTGGTATCAGCAATTACCCTATCAACAATCTATAACTCTGGCCATCAATTTCGGCAAGATAAGGATGGTAATCATGAGAACTTTAAGCCCAAAATACCAAATAAGTATTTAAAACAAATTACATGCATGTGTTACCCAAGTACTTTTCATCAATCATGTCAATGAGTATGAGTATTATGTTCAAACTTTAAAATGAGAATAAAGTTGGGCAAATTGATATAAGAAGAAACTAATTAGATGGAATATTACCTCAATGCATATTATAAAATCTTGAACACTTGACTGGAACTGCAAAGCTTGAGCTATAGGGCTTCTTAGCAGGCCAAGATCATAGAAAAGGGCAATAAAGATACCTTGCCACCAAGTCAAGAACACAATTGACTTAAATGTCAGAAACTTGGCTAATGGCTTAATGTGTGCTAATTCAACCTTTGTGATGCTGTAAAATTGCACTAAGCAATACAAAGCCCACGATTGACTGAAATTTAAAACCACGGCCATATAGGGATACCTACAAGAATTATGAGGCAAACAAAATCAGAGCCATCATAAGTAATCACACAATGACTTTAAGAAGAAACAACTTCAAGACTTGAGAATGGTTCTACCAGGATATTAAGGGAGAAAATTGAAAAAAGTGAATTACATTTCCCCAATACTGATTATCTTTAACGTTTCAATGAAGCTACAACAATCTCCTCAAAATCAATTGAATAACTTTTAGCCACTTATGATAAGCTAACATCCAATGACTGAAGAACTTATGGAAACTGAAACCACACCAAAAGCACTCAAAGAGTAAAGGAAATCATTTTCTACTTGAAAATGTGGTTATCCACTCAACTAAATCTCACTCTATCCAAAATTTCTTCCCTGCTGCTGTCGGCGCCCTAAGGCCCAAAACTAGAACAGAGGCAAAGTGTAAAATTCAAACCCCAAATTAAGCCCCCTGAAATTTATGAAACCCCAAATTCAGACGCAACCAGAATTTTTCAAAACCAAAATCACTAGAAATTAAGCATTTCAAATTTGTCAAAAGAAGCTATCAGACTTGCCATTGAGTACGTTGGCATTCGTGTGCTAATTCAAAAATCTATCTCCATAGGTGTATCTCTGCCTGGGTTAGTTTGATTTTATTTAGCTGTAGCATGCAATTTGTTATCACTTTAATCACATGTTGTGTTAGGTCATACTTAAGGACAAAACCAATGCAGTTCAAGATATTGACTTCTTACCCACAGTAAGGAATTACTGCGTTTTGGCAACTTGTTTTATGACACGTCCAATACTCCCTCTCCATTGAAACTCTATAGTCCAAAAGATTAAAAGTCCTCCCCACCTTCATCGGAAAATATTAAGAAAATGGAATAAGCCACTTTCAAAAGCAGAGATTAGATTAATTTTTGCTTAATTTAATATTGTCAATCAGTCCTTTACTATAAATAAAGAAAGAAACTAAACTTTTTTTGGGGACAGTTATGCATGCCAGCTATTCATATTAGAGGGGATAATAAACATTTTGATATAAACAAAATAAGATAAAGAATAACAAGAAAAATATAGCTATTATGATGAAACTTAAAGTAGGATGATGTGCATAATAACAGCACCAACACAAGTACAAATATCAAATTCATACCTAAACAGGCAACGAGATATCTCCCAAAGCAATACATTGCAAAGGACTCATAGCCATCACGAAGGATCTCAACATCAACACTGATTGATGGATTCAACAATGACACAAACTGTAAATGGTGTACACATAACAGATGTAAGAAGAAGTCTAAAGCAGCACTTAAGCACAAATAATGACAAACAGTCAAAACAGCTGAGGAGGTACCTCGGCTTGAGAATGGTAAAAAGGCCCAAAAGTACTTAAGTTTGAATAACTAGCCATAAATATAATAATTTTCTTTTAGAAAAATTCTAGCTGTCTAAGATTTGCTCCCACTCATTCTGAGGGAGATGAAAAGCTCATGATACTCAGGGAATAAAAGAACACTATATATGAGCCTAATTATATTTAAACATGCACATGCAAATAAGTACCTACACTCTTTCAGAAGCACACTAACTAAGCAATAACATTCGTTCTTATATAGCTAAGAAGTAACTTTTCAACGCTATCTTATGCTATGATGTAAATGTTTATGAAGTATAGATAAAAACTCTCATAATAATCAGTTATAAGCAGTTAATCTGAGAAATCTTAATAGGGGTGCACAGGACCCAGATGCTTGTCAGCAGCTCATTAGAAAGTCGCCCAAATACTTAATGATACAGATAAAAGTGGAAACATTGGAATGTATTATAGGAAAACAAGAAAGTTGGTTGCAAAAATTTCAAACTGGAGCTTATCTAGATTTTATATGTAGGTTTATCTTGCTGTTTAAAATAGGTTCTAGGGTAAGGGTGATTTATTAATTGTCCAAATGCTTTGATGCACCAAATGCTGCTAGGATATTGTTATCCTTTCTGCAAGCCTAACCCAGCTGCATAAGTGCTCTAAAGGCAGCCCTGTGCTAATATTTCCTCATCCTGGAAACCATGTTTTCCTTGGAAAACGAGTAGTTTTAGTCTCTCTCTCTCTCTCCTCGGCGACGAAAACAGGTCAGAGTCAGTAGAAAGTACAAGAACGGCCGTGTCCTTCTCCAACGGTCGGTCAGTATATCCTCATCTCTCTCTCCCTCCCCCCCCGCCCTCCAAAAAAAACAAAACAACAAAAAAAACCCGCAGCTTGTGGTTTTATATTTTGTATGCTCAGCTGAGGCAATGAATTGGCTCCAGCATGCTGTCAGAACCTTGCCTCCAACTCTTTCTCTTGAAGGACGCAAACTCTGGCCCCAAAATACGGCTATATGTTAACTCTCCTGTGCAGAGTTATGACATCAAGAATGGTTGCTTCGCTGCTTTTTCATGCTTCTTCTTCTTAAAGTCCATCCCATCACACATATTAGTCACCTAGATGCAGCCTAAATTTCCTCTCCAGCTAAAACAAATTTTCAAAAAGAATTCAGCGTCATTTATGGTTTCTTAAAATAAGCTCAGGCAACAGTGGAATTTTTCTTATTTTTAAAGGCTCCAGAGCTGCTTTCAAAATAATACAAATAAAATATGACTTTATGGAGTAGTCCCTCCTTCATTTAGTTGCATTCTTATAAGGAGTCCGCAACATCACTTGGTTGAATGCGATTTTCTCAAGCTTCATATTAGAAGCTGAGCTGGCACTAAATAGCCAAGTCAACTTACCTTACATATTGATGAATTACTACTCACTCATTTAAGTAGCAATACCTCCGCATTCCCAGTGACACAACCACAACACTCTCTCTCGTCTCTCTGACAGACACTTCTAACACTGGCTCATACACACACATTATAGCTTCAAGATCTGCCACTACCTAAACCTTCCTCTATCTCATCTCCCTTTCTCATCCATCTTTTACTGCATGTAAAGGGAAAGATAAGCAGTCTCTGCTCTCTCTTCGCATACAAGATCAGCCAAAAAAAATACTGACCCTTTTTCATTCGAGTATCCCAAAGCTCTATAAAACGTAAGAGCAGTGAACTATGCATCCAATTATCATTTTTCATGCAATTCATTTTTTCACAGTTTTCATTCATTTTTTTCATTTTTTTTCAATGTTCATTTCATTTTTTGCATTTCATCATTTTATTATTATTTTTTATTGCATCATTGCACTTTTTTATTTAATTTCGAATTTTATTTATTTACACATTCATCAATTTTCTCATTTTTCATATTCAATTCATATCATTATTTATTTTTTCATTGATTTTTTGTTTCATTTTTCATTTTAAAGTTCAGTTTTTTTTTTATTCATTTGTTTGTTCATTCACATTTCATTTTCAAGTTCATTGTTTTTTGATTTGCATTCATTTCATTAGACAATATTCATTTTGTATCAATGTTACATTTTTTCAGTTCATTTTTTTTATTTTCATTCATTTTTTTTTTCAATTCCATTTCAATTTTTTTTGATTCATCATTTCATTTTTTTATTTTCACATTCATCATATTTCAATTTTATTTTGTTTTTTTTATGCATTTGCATCAATTTTTCCAGTCATCATCCATATTTTCAATATTTCATTCACATTTTTTTTCATATCAAGATCATTTCATCAATGCATTCATCATTTATCCACATTTTTTTTTGCAGTTCAATTGTTTTTTTTTTTTTGTTTACATTTTTTTCATCCAATCACATAATTTTTGATCAAAATATTGTTTTTTTTCACATTCATATTTCATCATATTTTTCATTTTCTTTCAATTGTTCAAATTTGAAATCAATTTGTTTTTTTTTTCTGGACATATATCAGCAAACAGTCAAGATAAAACTCTGGGATCATAAATAATTTCATTAATTCATACTTCCAAGATGAAAATACGTTTATCCTGAAAAGAAACAGACAGATCCCATATGAATCTCTACATAAAATTAGCTCGCTTAACTAGAAAAGATAGCATCAATAGCACAATAAACATAAAAAAAGACATGAGAGAAATACACTAAAAGGAGAGCCAAATCACTTTGTTCTGTGTTTGTTTGAAAGTAAAAGAACTGAGAGAAAGCCAGAGTTAGTAGTAATTAATGAAATTGTTGCAGATAACTAACTCTTGTCCAGAAAACTTTGTAGGACAAAAAATGCATGAGTGCAGGCAAAAAAAAATTTGTTGCTCCCCGTCAAACTTGATAAACACAAAGTAAAAAGTAACTATTTGCCATGACTTTTAATTGCAACTTAGCATCATCCAACGTAGATAGAGACAAACTAGTAAAGCAACTGCTATTGCAATACTTATGGTTCACTAATAGCTAGGAAGATTAACCATTTATACAGATTCCAGAATCTCATCATAGCTGGAAATGAAAATTTGAAAGAAACAAGCCAAAGAGAAGCATATGTACCTGCTACATTCACTCTACAATTCACACAACTGAAGTCCTCTACAAAAGACACCATTATAACTGATCACCAGTAATATACAATCCCAATAACCACTGTAGAATCTCTTGCACTTAAATCATGCTCAGAAAAGCACATGAAATTCAAGATCCTTACCTCTATTGTTATCCCTCTCTTCATTTATCATCTCCTTTAGTCAACAAAGGTTTTAGATTTTGATCTCTCCCACGACAAACCTTTAGACACAGCAAGATAGATGTATGCACATAGACATGTTCACTACACGGCTAAATCAATTAAAAGCTCCATCTCACTCGTATCACTTTATAGTTCAGAGCAAACGTGAGAACCACCACGCAGACCAAACATCTCCATAACAAATTTGAGTCTTTAACCAAGATCCATCCAATAAAGCAATAACAAACAAGCTTTGCAGCGTCAGTGAACGAAACCACAACATAGAACAACTGAATTGTACACAATAACCACACCATAAAGCAAAACCCAACTGAAACCGACACTATCACAGCATAATGCAGCTGATAATACATCACAACAGTAAAACTGCATAATTCAGCTCAACCCACTTCCCAAATCTCCTAAAAAATCATAAAAGATTTCAACTTGACAGACTAAATAACTAAACCAGGGAAAAGAAAATCAACTTACAGATTCAACAGCATAGCAGGGCACCATCAATATGACTCCGATCAAAAACTTTTGCTCCTATTATCAAAATCAATTCCACCAAACAAATAAAACTAAATTCAGCAAAACCCCTCTCTCCAACTAACAAAAATAACCATAAACAAAATTTATTAAAGGGAAAAAAATGAAGAAAATGACCTCCGGATGTTTGTAAGCGGAGAGGTGTTCGAACAGTAGGTAAATGGAGAGAATAAGCGTGACGATGACAAATACGCCGCCTATAGCAGCGGCCCATGTGGGCGGGGAATATGAGGATTTCAGCCAATTGAAGCAGAAAGATTGTATTATATTCTGCATCCAGCTGCTTTGAATTACTATCTACGATTTTCTTAGGTTTCTCGTTTTCTTCCTTTATCTGTTTCCTCAATTTTCTGGCGATTGAAGTTTATCTTACGGGAATTTCATTGGGATTTTTGTGTGGGATTTGAATGTGACCATGGAAAGAATGATGAAGATGAAGATGAAGATGGTGATGATGATGTCAGATTGATTTTGGACAAAAGAGTTGAATTTGTATTAAGGGGGAAAGAAGGATAAAGGAAAGAAATGAGGAGACGGCTAAAAATAACAAAAAGGTTAATTCAAAAATGCACCCTCAGAAAGTGAATTAATCTCATTTTGCCCACTTATTGTTCAATTGGACCAGTCTGCCCCCCCTGGACTTTTCAATTTTTTTTTTCTGGAGAAAAAACCTCTAGTGTATAACCTATCTATTCTAAACTATTGAGAAGGGGGAGCCTAAAGAGATTTTATGTTAAGAGCTAGTAGATACACAAATCCAAGGGAGTGCTTTGGCATAACCCTTGAATTTTTTTTGTTGCAAGTGGGATTTGAACCCCCACTTACAGTCCAAATAGGGTCTTAAGACCCACCTTAGTGCCCAAGGAGCTGGTTGTCAATAACAATACAATCAACTTGGCAAAACTTAAATTGAATCCAACATTGTTATTTTAGCTGCACATAATGCACCGAAATGAATGTGGATGCAATTTTTGAGTGATCTCATGCATACAAAAATTAAAAAGACAATTATACTCTCCAAAAATTATACGCAAGTAGATAAAAATTTTGATATGGAAAAAAAAGATACTTTTTGATGTAAAATATTAGGGTAAATCAGAAGCCCTTTTAATTTTCTTATTTTAGATTTTTTAAAACATTGACATTTATTTTTTTTCTCGAAGCATTTAACTTGCGTCCTGTCCGTTTAAAAAAAGTTAAAATATATACATATATATATACACACAGATATATACACACATATATATATATAGACACACATATGTATACTGCCTTCTCAACCCAAAAAAAAAAAAAGACTGGTCACACTGCCTCAAATCGCCATTCATAATCATTTGTGTCCCCTTATAACCGTCTTAGAGTAGGCATGACCATGATTCCATTTGAAACCGGAACTGGACCGTTTAGAACCTGACCAGAACCGAAACCAAAACCGTGGAACCAGAACCATGGTATGGTAGAACCTTGGATAAAGGTTCCACTTCTAGTTCTCTAAAAAATAGAACCAGAACCAGAACCGTCGGTTTCAGAACCGTTAAAAAATAATTAAAAATAATTAATATAACTAGTGAGATAATTCGAAAAAAAATTAGTTGTGTTTAATAGGTTTTAAGAAAGTTTAAATTTTATGGGCTTTCTTTTTTATGGGTTTTGATATTTCATCTCAATTTCAATGAAAAAATCATGTATTTTCTTTTCCATTTAAAATGATTACCATTTGATAGTGTAATGTATTTTTTAATTTGACAATGTAATGTACTTTTCATAAAATTTGTATTATCTATTTATTACATCGTACTTTGTAGAATAATAATAAAATTAAAATATGATCTTTTTTTGTATTTATTTTTTTACATTCTATTTGAAAATTTTATATTCGTATTAAAATTGGTAAGGATAAGGAATTAAATAAAATTATATACAACCATACGGAACCAAAACCGGAACCAGAACCATAAAAAACCGAAATCAGAACTATAAGGAACCAGAATCAAACCAGAACCATCTTAGATGGTGCGGTTCTAGTTCTACCTCTTTGAAGAATCAGAACTGACGGTTTTGAAACCGTGGCCATGCCTATCTTAGAGTATACTAGGAGGTATAAACCGCGCCCTGTGCGGTGGCGATAAAAATGTGTATGCCCAATTTAGTATAAATAACTATGAAATACAATATTAAAGATACACCTATATATACAAGAACATTACTATTATATGAAAGATAAAGAAACTGGAGTAAAAAAATGTAATACAAGACCAAAAGAATCAAGAGATTACTGCTTGCGCACTTAGCTAACAATTTGCCAGTAATTAAAGTTTACAAAAGAAAAGAACCAATGTCTTGAAGGACAGGTTTAATTAAAATTCCAAAAAAAAAACTCATGAATTGAAGTGGTTGCCTCTCCGGCAGGCAACTTTGAATCTCATCCAACAACCCTTTAACATAAGCAATTAAAATGTAAGAATCCATTGATATCCCGAAATATTTTCCTTGTTTTTCAGGAATATCTCTTCTGGAAATGACTTCAGTTCCAGTAGACACATCACGAGGTCCAATCTCAATGCTTAGAGATACTCCCTGCAGAAAAGCTAGGTAAATTTCAAAGCACAATCGTATTACATTCAACTGTAAAATAGTATTTCTTGAGATCCACACACATAACTTCCAAATATGGAATTATTAATAGCAACAGCATACGTTTCAACATTGAAACTACATTCCGCCCCAGAAAACAAAGCCAACGATCACTGAAGTAGCTCTAGTTAAGCTGGCCTTCAATAGATATCAGTTGACTTGTTAATTATTCAAGCCAGTCTTCAAAAAGTTTTGGTTGAGCAAATCGCAATTGGAACCTAACCACTCCAGTTGATTTTTTTTTTTTCAAACTAATTTTAAACAATAACTCTAGATGCTCAAGTGAAGTGAAGTAAGGTGACAAGTCTTCAAAGTAACCAAGCTTGGTGAGATATATTAGAATTAACCTTCAAGAATCTTAAAGCTCCAAGGAAGGTAGTTTAGATGTAGTCCCGCGCTCGTTAACATTCTAAGAAAAACAATCATTTGAAATGCTTGTGGCCATGCATTTGGAATTTTCCTCTCCCTAAATTTCTCTTATTCTTACTCATGCTTTGGCGAGAGAAGTCCAATGGCAAGATAGATATTGGGCAAGATACAAAACATCTACAGAAGCAGGCAAACCTTCTATCTCCTAAAAGTTATATTTCCATCCAGGTGTTCTCTGATCAGAGTCATCAACCTTGACCTTTATTCCAGCTGCTTGCAGAGTTTCTTTCACTGACGATGTAGCATTAAGAACTCCAGTTCTATCACTTGCTTTTTTCCATATTGGGACAATCACAAAGCGAAAGCAGTCAATAATAGGAGCTATTCCATCTCAAGAAAGACAATTTTTAATGCACATAGCCAGAAAAATGGAAGGGTTACAAAAGCAGAGAGCTGTTACTTCACTGCACTGATGAGTCCAAGTTCTGGACCAAAATCAAAACAAAAGTTGCAGAACTAATGTAAAATGCTAGAAATACAAAACCTGCACGAGCTTAGGAAACCAAATAATGATTTAAAAAAATCAGCTTTGCAAAAATTAATCAGCCCATTGAGTTCAAAACACAACATCCATCCCCAGCCCCCATTCACTCTATCTTTTGAGCAGACCCATTAGCAAATATAGTCAGTAAAACAACCAAAAACGTGCAATAGGCTCAGAAACAATTAATCAGTCTCTGTCAGAAGAAGATTCTCCTCTCCATGCATGGGGGCTCATAAAACTCTTTTGCATGAGTTTTATGAGTTCAGAACAAAGCACAAAAGAGTTTTACTTTTTTTGGGCGAGGGACAGCCTTTTTTTTTTGGAGAACAAGACAAATATCAAAGGGCGGGGGACAAGAAGGAAGAAAAAAAAATCGCAGTAATCATGAGTGCGTTTGGATAGTGGATTATTTGGAATAATTGTGCAAATATTTACTTGTTGACTTTTTGAAAAGTAGGGGTGCAAGATAATCGTTTGGACAACATGAGTATATTTCGAATAGGTGTTTGGACACTTTAACAATTATTTGTCGAATTTATTCCAAATAAGTGTTTGGATAGCAATAACGATTATTTAAGTGCAATGGGAAACTCATTCCATTCACTTTGGAGCACATTAATGAATGGTTTATAAATAAACTTTCAATTTTGGATAAAAAGCAGTTTAATCCAATACAAACCACGCATCCGAAACTTCTATACGATTATCAAGAAGTCTAATTGATACATCATAGTAGAAGGAATGGAAGTTTATTCGTTATACCCTCAATAAAAGCTTGGCAACCATCTGGTCCCTTGCAAAAAACAGAAATGTAACTGGAGCGGCCATGATTTAGTATTACGTAGGTCCAAATTACGCCCCTGACTTTCTAGCGCCTTCTCCTACGTTACGCGCCATACATTTCAGTTGCAATTGCATCTCGCCTAACTTTCCAAGCCATAACCTCAGCTCGGGATGCATTCAATGGCTGGACGTGAAGTAACTCACCGCCACCCTGTTGGTGCTCTAATCGAACATTTTCGTCCTCAACCAGTTGAAAATAGGCGTCGCCTGGTTGGTGTAAGGGAAGAAAGTTGTGCAATACACAACAAGCTATAACAACACTGACTTGAGTCATCATGTAAAAATTTGGAACCGGTCCCTTTAAAAACTTAAATCTGTTCTTCAGAACTCCAAAGGTTCGTTCAATGACATTTCTAAGTTTCGAATGGCGTGTATTAAATAAAATTTTTTCTGGACCGGCCCGTGCTGCATTCTTATACGTCGATAAGAAGTCTGGAACATTCTTATATGCAGCATCTACAAGGTAGTATTTACCTTAAATCGAAAAACGACAGGTGTCAGTTCTATGATGGTAGTTTACTTTTTATGAAAACTTTATAGTACTATATGTTGAGCAATAAAGTACCACTAAAAAATATACTACCTTGTTCAAAATCCAGTTACATTAAATAGAACAAACATAGATTTATAATTTAAAAAATTAGCGTCTTACTGAAATATCTGAAATTTTTTTAAAGTACTCAAATTACCTTTCAAAAATGCTATACAAATAAGTAGTTGTTAATAGCACAAGCCAAAAAAAAGATCCACTAATATATGGACTTACGTGTGACAAAAGTGTAGTAAATGGAATATATACATCATCCAAAAAGTAGCATATACTTAAATTAGCACTACAGCGTAACATCATGAAAACAAACCCTTCGTTTCAGAAGACTTGAGTACTTTATAATACAGGGGAGTTACCTTCAGGTGCCATTGGGAAGTCTGACGGGTGTGACAGAGCATCATCTAACACTTGGCTATCGTGTGCACTTCCCTCCCACTCAACATATATGTACGTGAATCGCATATCGAAATCACATACTGCCAGTAGATTTTGCGACTGAAACCCATGTCGATTTGTATACACCATTTGGTGGCCTGAGGGCGGGCACGCCGGAATGTGAGTGCCATCAATTGCTCCCGCTGCATCCTGCATTTCCCAACAAATAAAATTTTATGATGGAACTCTTACAAATACGTTGTGAGTTTTGAGATTGAAGATCACTGCCAAAATTTGTCATTTTGTATTTAGATCATTCACGGCCTAACCTTGAACCATGGAAAGTATTTTGTCGAATTCCTGATCCTTGGATGTACCTGATCGTAGTCAAAAGGGCGAATTATTTGTGAAGCAAACATACAAAGACCGCGCAGGACCTCCCTTACATTGCGGTTAATTGTCTCCGTTGATCTATTAAAACGCTTTGCCAAAACTCGTTGTCGGGCACTATGACTTACCATTACCAAAGTCATGGCCAGTGCCTCTTCGATTTCCACTCATTTTTGATAGTTTTGAGGTACGTAATTATTGTACTTTAGTATGTCACAAAGTAGGAGGAAATTGTCAACCGAAATACATCAATTTTCTATAATTCGTCTGTAGTGACCATTGATCAACTCCTCAACCCATTGACGCCCTGTCAGTGAGCCATCATGGTGTGGAATTTTGAGTTTTGGACCTCCATACCTTTCTGCCTCCGGATGTAGAAGTATCAACTCTGCTGCAAGTCCAAGTAGCAAGGCATCCTGGTCATCATCTGATGTTTCGTCATTATTGCTTGAACTATTATTTTGGATGCGATTCATATCCCCTGGAGTAAATACACAGCAAGAGAGTTTATAGTTACAACAAGTGGGCTTTGTTCTTCGAATATTACAACAACGGAGTTAAGCAAGAACTGAACAATAGAGCTTTGAAAAAGAAATTCTGAAATCCGATACTTAAACCTTCTATTCACGGGGCGTTCGGTTATGTCGTTCGATGAACGGGAGCTTTGTCCTCGATGTAGTGCCCTTTGATGCTTTCCCCCAAAGTAGAGAATTGTAATATGAGATATGCATAGACACGGGCTCTTGTTAATATATAGAGCTCTGGAGACTACCAATCTTTTCGAAGCACGGGCGCATTATTCTAGTCGGGCCCTTGTTGACAGAATAGGCCACCGTTCCAGCAATGCATGTTCCAACTTGTGGCCGTCGATATCATTCCTTCAAACATTGGATTTCCTGGACAATTGTTTCACATGCCACGCCTGACCAGATATGACCACTCCCACCAAGCTGCTTTTGATATAATTGTACAAGTTGTCGGCTTTTTTCCCCCCAATGTGTATATATTCCTGACTCTCTATCGTGACTACATCACATAATAGACAATTTTGTAAAATCGACAAAACACTAGTGACCAGCGTGCACTCAAGGTTCGTACCTTGAGTGCTTTAAGAAAAAAGACAAACTAATGTACATTGCCATTTTAACTTAAAATATTGGAGGTGTGGGACTTTTGGTGCAACTCTACAATATCCAGCCTTGAAATATCCTAACATTTGCAATAAAAGTACAATTGGGATTACACAAATCCTTCCCATGTCCCCTTTATAAACACCAAGCAAACATAAGCCACGTGACAATTTATTTACCAATTTCACAATTCACTCAAGCACCTGCACTAATACAGAACAAGTGGCCGTCAATAAGGCCGAAAAACCTGCACAATTAATTGGTGGCTAGAAGCCTGGTGCTACCCATTTATAATAGCTCAACAAGTTGTCGGCAGTATTAAAGCAACCCCATAAGTTCACTCAATTGTAAATACAGAATACGATAGTCCAATGCCACCCATTAATTCTACAAGGGAGTTTTGAATAACCAAATAAATACACTCAACATGAATACAACATACACTCATTCAAGAAAGTACACTCAATTATTTTAACAAATGCTACATCTCAAGACACAAGTCTAGGAATTGCAGTCCAGAACACTCAATAAAGAAGCAACCGATATAGAAGCTAAGTAAAGTTCAACCACCATTCCAGAAATTTCAACCAAACAAAGGACAATGACACAAGCAGACAACCGACAGTTAAGCAAGGTAGAACACACTGAGATCCTTTTCTCAAAGCCGTTGTGCACATTACTATGTTCACTGTGAGGGCTTGGAATAGCGAAGCTCCTCCATAATGAGTTCAATGTAATCATAACGCTCGGCGTCATCAAAGCGTACGAATGCACATCTTTGTCCCGCATTTCTTCTTTCGGCAAAGTACATTGTCGCTTTTAGCTTAACCGATTTTGGAAGTTGCATATTTTCACTATGTCTTGAGCTACCGGTACACTGTATTTTGCTTCCTCTTCATACCGAATTTTCATAAATTCTTGCGAAGCGGTGGTGACGCGAGAGATTTTGCTAATTGCATCATCTAGTCTTTCCCTATCACTAGATGATCTTGTTGATTTAGCACCTCTAGATCCCTCACGATCTCCGGGAGTGCCAAGACTTGAGGCGGGACGCTTTCCAGATGCCGCTCCTGGTACCGAAGGTACGTAGTATACGTCCTCTCCCTCCCAAGGGTACTGCTGGTAGCCAGAGGCAGCCGAAGCTGAGGTTGCACCCTTTCCTTTGCTCTTTTGTGGCTTTCCAAGAAGTGGCCGTCGGTGTTCGCCCTCGGGGACAGGTCGCTTTGCAGATTGTGCATAGCTACCTGTTGCATTTTTTCCCAATGTTGTTGGAGTATACAGATCATATAGGAAGCAACTTCCAGCTAATTTGAAGTCTTTGTACTCTTTGTTCACCTAGAAAATGCAAAACCAAAAAGTTAGTTCTCGACCAACATTTAAATTTATGAAAAGTAGGAGGAATGTACGCCATGTAATATGATGAAAGCTTTCGAAAATAATATGCTTATGTAAAATCAAGCGCAACGATTCCAAGGCAAAGTACTGGTTGGTGACAGCAGCAAAACTGGTTGGATTATTAACTGCCATCATCTAAAAATATATTAAGTGTTTTTGGTATACACTTCGGCTCAAGACTAGTCAGCATAGCTATTAGTATTGCAGCAAGTTGGGCACAAAAAAAAAAAGGATGAGCATCAGGTGTTTTAATTAGTCGCTTACAGCTTCCATTTGGGCCCAGTGCTCGTCGGAAGCCGTAAAGCAGTTATTCTCTTCATCCCAGCCAATCACAGTCTCCGCTTTTGATGACAAACCACGAAGATTGGCAAACACGTTCCACTTCTTCCTAAACCTATACATTCTTGACTGGCATTGGCCTCCGGTGACTTGCATCTCAAATTGTTTCCGCAAACATGTGGCAAGCATATCATAATTCTGGTCATTTGTCTTGTGATTGTCCCATTTTTTTCGTTTGCTTCCACTCAACATAGGTGGTGCTAAAGTTGAAGTCCATGGTAGAAGTCCACTGCAATTTCTCGTTCATCTGCTACATATAAGAGCACAAATTTTGCCATGAAAAGTTAAAACATGGCAGGTAAATGTGACTAATTATGCCTAAAAAATTAGTAAATAGAATAGTAGTGTTAAGGGCAAACGTGGTTTACATGCTGATTGTAGTTCTCCATACACAGTTGATAGTTATTTGAAGCGATGGATGAGCTGGAAGACTCAAAGGATGTGCAGCTAGTAGGAGATGCTTCAAATAGAAGAATTGATTTCAGTTATACATCCTGAACGAATATATGATAATTATAAAGGTTAGAGGGACTTACACGGGTCGTCAATTTTTCGTTTAGCTGCGGTCATTGGCTAAATGAGCAATGCATTGGTTTTATCGAACACATAACAACTCAAATTGCAATACCTATATCCAAAACAGGTGCAGCAGATGTCAATTTTTTTTAAAGGTTACTACTGAGCCTACTTTTGAACAAAGTCCACACCAAATATCCATTCAACCTAAAGAATGAATACAGCGAAGGAAATTTATTTTCATAAGTCAATTTTTTCATTTTTCGTTATAAGTGTAAGCACAAATGAATGAATACATTTTAATAGATGCTACAACAGTCTCAGTTCTAAGCAATCAAATCTGTAACTTAGTGTCTCTTCAATTTCGATTAACATTGAAGCAATTTTAGCTTCAATGACTTGGAACAAATATCTGTGCAGAAATAATACCAAACCATTCCATCCCGCTACATATACATTTTCAGACCTATAGATCTAATATATCAATCTTTCAAGTCTCTTAATTTCTGTTGATAATCGTTCCCTGGCTGCATACAAATAAGGATGGCCCCTCAGACACCCATGCCAATCACATCCATTTCCGGGATAAATGTTACTACCACAGAGTAGCGTGCAATTTATAAACTCTATTAGACAACCAAGTAATCTTGAGCCGTTTGGAGATAAAAAATAGAGCAGCAGTATACAAAAAAATCAAAAAAGATCCTCCACAATTCTAGATATCCTTTACTATCTAGATTCTGTTCGGAGTTAAATTTACTATCTCCATTCTGTTAGGAAAAAACTAAGCATAATAAACTGCAGCCACTCCCATTGATGTGTAACATGTACCACTGGCAATCAAAATCCTAATACCACCATATGGCACTTAGCAGGTAACTGTTCTAAAGCAGATATTCTAACATGGGGAACTACTGTATTAGTGAAACAGGCATTAGTACTGAAATAAATTATTAGCTTTATCCACATAATATCAGATAAGATTCTATCCAGTTGACTCAATTAATTTGTTTATCTACTAATTTGTTTATCTGGCAGCCAAAACACAAGTATAAGTACAGATATTCAATACTTTGGATTCTTTTTTCTTTCCTTGTGAAAAACGAAATAATGCACCAGAATGTGAAATACACGATACGTAACTGTTGGTTAACGGCCAAAACTCGTAAAAATTATGCTTAGTAGGTCTTTTGTTAGATCCAATTATTTTTGTTGCTAACTGATGAACTTCAGAGAAATCTTTCAAACTCTAGTACCAGGAGCCACATTGAAACAAGTTAACCAATTAAAATTATATCAAGAATTTTTAAGGCATCAACAATTAACAGATCATAAATGACCAACTTAATACAACTACACTGCATAAATAGATCCGCCACTGTTTGGATCTAAAAATAGGAGGTTTTTCGGTCTATACTTCATCAGAACATCAGCTCATAACAACTCAAAACATGCAAATCTGGGTCTACAAATTAGTTGTTTCGAAGAGTAACTTCCCAGCAAGCTAAAAGAAGGTCACTTGCTGTGCAGCAATAGAAAGGGAAGGCTTCTTGACCCGCGGAGAAAATAAAAGTGAAAGATTGAGGAAATACCTTGGATTTAGCTGGAATTTGTCTGCCAAAACCCTTTTTTCCTTCGTTGAATTAGCAAATTATCCGTCGATGAAGGCTCAAGACAAGTTAACTGATCAGTGCTTTGCCTTGAATTGAAGAAATCAACTCTTCGTCCTATACCATGCGCTTGCCGACGGC